GTTAAAGAAGATTCGATCGATGTCAATGTTCATTCACAGACAGTCTTTTGACCTCCGAAGCGTTCGAATGCTTCCTACGCAATTAATGCCAATGTCTTGAAGAGTCTCTCTATCTATAGAATCAAATTGTTAGCACTCAGCGATAAATGAGTATGTGGTGAGAAGGTACGGTTCTTAACCACCAGGAGAAGACAAAAGCATTCTCTGCGAATTAATCGAGACTCGAGTGAATTACGTTGTCTGGGCTTCTTGTAGACAGATCGAGCGATCACGTCAACACGATATTAATACGATCATTGAACTTTTTCTTGTACTAATTTTTTTTTTATACATCCTTAGATAATATTTTTCAGTTGTACAACAGTGGTTTTGCAATTACCGAGAACAAAACCCAGGGTGATTAAGGTAACAAATAGTTAATTACCGGTTGGCCTTTGTCCGTTGGGTTTTGTGTGTGCTTTTATGAAAGATCTTCTATCCAGCCCCCGGGTTCATTTTATTCCCATTTCCACCCCCGACGACCGACGCGACGTTCGCTTTGGCTGGGGATGTAATATCCCTCGTGTTATAGATAACTAGGTCTACTTTATTTTATCTTTTTCTCTCGCCCCTTTTTTCCTCTCTATAAGTAATTAATAACGGAAGCAGAAACCGTAATTGAGCTTTGTTAAAGATAATATAGTAGATAGAAAAAACGTTTGATAAAATTGCAGGAAACCTTTTTCTTGGTTGATTTATTTTTGGAGGTATAACTGGAAGTTTTATAATATCATCAGGGAATAGTTTATTTATAGGAACGAAGTTACTTTATAAGAATAATCAACTAGAAGTCGTTATTTTAATGGAAACATTTTATGATGCTGCTCAGAAGAAAAGTTAGTTTTAAATTTATTAAATAATTAAACATTTTATGTCTGCATACAACAACTGTTTATTTACAACTACAGAAGGGAGGAACAATCGTAGACACATAACATGCTGCAGAGGTTATCTTACTTTTCAAAAGGGGTGATAACGCCAATATTGTCACATCTATGCAAATTCGTCAATAAGATTTTTAAAAACAGTTTAGCAAATAAATTCAATTCATATCAACTGCAGAACAATATGGCTTCAGGAACGGTTACATGGAAACTTGAGCATTCCTGCAAGCAATGTATTCAAGTTAAGAGAGGCGTACGCTGGGGAGATACTACTTTCTCAAAACTTTTCACCTTGGCACTCGAAAACATCTTCAAATCACTATCATGGGTAAGCAAAAGGATTAACATCGATGGTACCTATTTAAACCATCTACGCTATGCAGACGATATCCAAAAACTATCAGATATGGTGACACAACTAAATACAACGGCCAAACGAGAGTGGGGCTAAAGATGAACTTTAGCAAAACAAATTTGGTGGAAAGTAAGAATATATTTACCTAGGACACGCCATTAGGACAAGGAAATCAGACAGCTGAGATAAAGCACAGACTACAACTGATGTGGACAGCCTTTGGCAAATTAAAACATTAAGCGTAAAATGTACGATTGATGCATACCACCAATGGCGACCTCCAGACTGGAAACCATGGCGAAACTACTAAATTATACTTAATTAAGAACATGGTCAATAAAAGTCAACCCGCATTCAAACTGCACACTTAGATTATAATTGATGGATTTGAATATCAAAAATAAGTCTTCTATGAAGAACACGTAATTATTAATGTTTATCTATTCAGAGGAAATCATCATAAAGGATTTAGTTACATTAAGTGATAAAGAGTTGTTGAAGCATCTATGGTGAATACAATTATCAGGAAAATCTTTAAATCAGTACTAAGCAGCTTTTCACATTTTACTTTTAGATCTCGGTGATATCAACCACAGTTTAATCTTAGAGTATTGAGGAACTTCTGAAGATGGTCCATATCTGCTCAGCTGAAGCTTCTTAGTATACAAATCTTTGTCGATCTAGCAAATAACTCTGTATAAGGATACAATGATCCAGAATCATATCCATTTTGAGTAAGGACAACTTTCTACCGACAAATGGTCCGAGAAGTTTGATCCTACCACTGCAGATTTCGACTTGCAGTAATTTGCGTAGCCATCAACGATGCTACGATCCTTATGAAGCCTGAAACGTGTCGCCTATTTGAAACTGAATGTACACCCAGAAACATCTAGAATTAGAATATAAGAATCGTTCAAATAACAATTATACGCATTTCCAAACAACTTCTCCAAAGCGATCCTGAAACTAGTGTGGACGTGTGGTCTCAAGTACTGCCAACGATTTCAACACAACTATCCTCTAGTGTTTTCAAAACAAAGTTCTGCGAGTCATCGTCCGATCTAATTCAAGAGAACACATAAATCCGGACACAAAATTTTTATAGAATCTACTTAAATTAATTAAAAACAGATCACTCACTTAATAGATAGAGATTATACATGACTTCTAAGGTTCAATTATAAATAAATCCGTTATAAGAATGGTGTTTTTGGATCGTAAAGTAACATAATGTTGAACCATATTTTTGAAGATGTCTCATTAGATACACTTTCCGTATTACTCAGCTCATCATCATCATCGTTCAAAACTCAAAATCCTTCCTATGAAACTAATTCCCCAAATTTCTCATGTAAATACTATCTCTAGCTCTTTGATTACTTCAAGTGAAGATATTTCGAAAATATCTCTGTAATTGTGTTTCCGAAAGAGTTTATATGTTACTATGATATATATGCTTTGTTTCTGGAGGAGTTATATTTAAAATTAAAAGAATTAATAATAGGATTTGCCTTCAATTATTATAAAAATCTTAAAATACTACCGTTATCTCTGTTCAAAGGGAATTTTGGTAAGCTATTTGGTTGTCACGATTTCAGTAAACCTGGAGTGAATATTACAGCATTGAGGTTAACCCAACCATCAACATCATAACGGTTCATATATTAGCTGTCTCTAGTTCCTGTATAGAAGATTGACATATTACATTTTATGAAAACGATTTTGCCTATCATGTGTATTAATTGCTCTATTACCTGATAGTACATGACATTATTGCTAAACGGTTGTCACAAGATAAATGAATATTGTTAATACTAATCAATAGCGGTTTCAAACTGGATATGCATAGATTTACAGTACTAATGAAGTTTATCGTATTCTTCCATCGAAATCGTGTGTCATTTCGTATATCACTATGTTTTTGCACCCATTCTTAATGTCACTTCCTTCAAGTCGTCAGTAATTTTTTGAAGTAGTAACGTGTACAATAGCATTAGGTCGTCATTGAATTTTCGCTTTACTAATGATAGGTTTGTGGTCCGTGTAATCCAAGCTTGTTGATAATTTTTTGCATCGTGGTTACTCCAATAAAACCTTTTTTTCGTTTCAGTCGACTACTGTTAAATTGGTTAAACCGTCAATTTAATTAAACCTGAAAAAGAAGCTTTTCAATTAACAGCTTGTGGTACCAGCAGTTGTTGTTAGTTCCAAACCGTATTCCGTGAACCATCAGTATGTGTTACACGAGAGAATATAAAGCTATAAACCTGCAAAATTTGATAAAAACTGTAAAAGTTTATACACTTTCATTGAGAATGTATCAAATTTTTATACTAATTTTTTTAAAAAGTGATTTGATATTAATTATTGAAAAAACATTTTTTTTAGAAAGTGTTAATAATAAATATATTATAATAATATAATATGGGAAGATTACTTTTAATTATATAGTTGTTTTATGTTAGTTGGTTTATTTTTGAAAGGATATCCGGAAATGTTTTAAATTCACCGTAAGCTATTAGGGTTTAAATCAACCGACTAAACCGAAAATCGGCTAATTATACTGACAGTTATGTCCGTGTATTTAAGTCGATGCTAAAATTACATCAGACCGCGCGTTTCGTCGCGTTTATTTATACGCGAACTCTCGCAAATGATCTTCCTAGATTCTTACTGTCAGACGAAAAGCTGACTCACCTCGGATTTTCTTATGAAAGATCCGTCTCTAAATGAAACCTCAACTTGTTTGATTTATCTCCAAACCAATGTAACGATCAAAGTGATCAAAAAGTTTATTTTTGAACCAAATTTCATGCACAATTCACCATTATTAATAAGCATGAAAATTTTGGTAACTATAAAAATATCGTTTTATTTTTTAATGTTGACGTTTTAATATTCATGTTTTTGAAAAAAGATGAGTGCACTTTATTTTCCCCTAGTTTGACTTCGTTGCGACCTCCGGTGCTCCATAAACTGGGATTTATGGTTTTACTGCCTAGTACTCTTGAAGCGTATTGGCAAACGATGTTACCAGTAACGGTTTTTAAAGGGTTTATTTTGTACACGGGAGCTTTAAAAGTGGAAAAATATTTCCGCGTTCGTAAATCCACGTGTGTCGATACAAGAAGCGTTTTTGATTTAGCGACACATTTTTAGTGAGCACAAAACGATTCAATATAAGTTTCACAAAACAAGAAGGGTTATAAATTTTAATAAGAGAAATCTACAATTTCTTCTTATTTTTATTTTCCTTTTGTCATGTCATCTAAAGAACAAACCCACTCCTTTCACTCTTCATCATTATCTCCTACACGAATTCATTTTTTTTTTGCATTTACGTAGGTAGAACTACCAATTAATCTCTAAAATCGTACTCATAAGGGCCACAACCAACAACCTCGATTTATGCGAGAGCGCACCATTCAAAGAAATCCCTGCAGAAGTAATAAATTAGTGAAGGGGGAACGCGGAGGTGGGTGGACCATAATGGGTCTTTAGTACTCTTTGGCATTGTGTTTCTAATAAGAGGAAGAAATTATACGGTTGAAATCCCGCGCTTCGGGGTTCGTCTCGGTTCTACGGAACGCGCGTGTATAGGTACCCAGTAATTGAGATGTCTTTATCCACTGGGCCATTGTTTTCCTCTCTTTCCAGCGAATTTCACGCGACTATATTTCAAAATTTTGTCTATAGTAATTTCCTTTTTGGATTTTCAGGTATCAACAAGTTTGTCTTATCCTGCTTGGAGTTTACATGGGGATTTCCCGCGGTAATGACTGGGATCTTCCACCATCATTCAGAGTCGAAATTGATCGAGAAGGTAAGAAAAAATATTATTAATATTATTTGTAGAAAATGAAATATCACAAATATTGCTGTACATAATTATGTGGCATAATATTATTGTTCCTACATCGCGATAACCTGGTATAAAAATCTGCAAAAATGATTTATATTTTACGTTCTTAATTTGAATATGCAAATGAAAGTGTGTTATTGTAATTCGAAACAGAGTCTGTATTGTAATGAGGTGGCAATATGAGGAAAGTTTAAAATTACTAAGACTTCGCATTATTCGAAACATTATGCGAAATATTTAAAAGAATAGAAAGTTGCAGCTAATATAGGACTGTGTTTCTATTATAAATAGTTGTTGTAATTAGGCGATTATCTGATATAAAATAGAAGTAGTAGACATAAAAGTTCTTCATTATTAAAACATCGATGTTAACATCTGAACCTGGAACCAAAACTATTAAGAACGTGTAACAACTCCTCCTTCCAATTGTATGGCTTTTTAAAGGACACGAAGGGGACCGAGTCATTGTGTCCTCCGTTAGTAAACCCATTAGACCCTTAACCCAATTCATTTATTTTATTACGTCTATTTAGGTGTCCGAGTGTTTTTGACTAACCGTATTATAGATAGGTTTCATAAAAAATAGATTAGTAGTGTGTCTTCTTCTCATCGTGAGAGATGGTATGTCCCTTTTCATAAACATGCAGGTTAGCTTTGTTAATTCAATGTTTGAGGTTAAATGGTATAGGATTTTGGCCTGACATTGTCTATTTTTTGTTCAACAACAAATCAACTTTAGGTAAAGTTTATGAAAGTTTGGAGATTTGTACAAATTTTTGTTAAAATGTTGTTTATCTTCACTAAATCCATTTATTACATTTTTCGGCTACTAATATATGTGGTGTTTTCACCCTCGTGATCGCCGGTTTTTGTGGGAGTCGTCCAGTAAAAGGGGTAGTCTTGGATGCGAAATTCCTTGTTACCTCTAGTTTAAACAAGAATGAAGCAATTATGACGATTCCTGCTATTACCGAAGCTGCAGAATGTGTACATCGAGGTTAAGACTTTTTATTCACTATTTACATCTTAAAATCTGTAATGAGTGTTTAAGAGTAGATTTTAAATAGGAGATGTGAGACGTCAAGTAACAGGATCAAAACATTCCTCGGCTGAACAAGTTATGGTAGTTCTGGTATGTATTACTCGTGAAGTATATTAAAGAGTTAATGAAAGCAGCAATCTCCCTACTAGCGAATGCATAATCTATTTGGGAAAAGGTAAGATAAATCTTTACCTAATTGCATTTGAACTTAAGTCAAGTTTGAAATAGTTTGCAAAAAAAATGTACGAAAATCATAAGACGTATTTGAGTAGAGCCAATAAACGTGTATTAACATCTACTAAAAAAATGCATGATCTTTCTGGAGAGCCAGAAAGACCTGATTCATCTTAAGTTTCTAATGAAAATAAGGAATTGCAAGAAGATTTGCCAACGTATCGATGACAACAGACCTGGAACAAGTAGAACATCTATGGGGAAACATTTCTACAAAATTAGTTAAGTATGAGAAATTCTGAGTACATCTATAAGTAAGACCTCAATTCGAAGAGGTATGTGTAATAAAAGTTGGACTGGAATGGAAAACTGTTGTCTACTTTTGATGCTTGCAAATCAAAAAATGAACTTCTTTTGATTATTATTTCATATAGAAATAAAGAATAGCTCATTACTTTGGCAAATTTGGAAAGCTCTTTAAGATGCGAATAATCGTAAAGTGTTTGAAACGTGAATGCAGTCTGTAATCTTGAAAATAAATAGCAGTCTTTGTTATGATGCTCAAATACAGGTCGAATCAACTGTGCTTGCCTGCTTCATGAACAAAAATTCCCATGTTCGACCTCTGTTCCATGTATCATCTTCGATGGGTGGTTGTTGGCATCCATGGAACGCTTTTCTAATTTACGTCTTTTTACTTCTATTACATAAGCATCACAATCTAACCGAGTTGTTGGCTTTCAAAGTTGGAAAATTTGTTTAATCTTTTCTATTTAGTTGTTTAAGCAGCAACTGCAAATTACTTTTAAAGGTCTAAGGTTTCCTATATTTTATCAGAAGATGCGTGTTTTTGAAAAATACAATAGCAACTTTTGATTACTTGGCTCTGATTCAGTAAATATCGCCCCTGATAGTTCCCAACTACTTTCTGAGTCTTCTTCATTTCGTTACACTAACAACATCCCAAAGACGCAGCGTAACAGTTACATCACGTTTGATCTTAGCAAAGTTTATATAGTTATATAAACTTTTCTAATATAGCTAAGTTTAGATATATTTTTTTTTAGTTTTACCATCTTTAATATATAATTTAAAGTCCAAAAAGTTGTATATGATTATTTATAGTTTTCCTTATCCTATGTTTCCCAATTTCGAATGTTTTGACGTTCAGTTCGTATTTTTTCCACCTACTGATGCATATTTTCGACTGGTGATGCATACACGAAGGACTTTAAATAACTCTAAAGAAAATAATCTGGGAATTAAAACCAGCGTACGAACAGCTTTTCGAAATTCTCCATGATATATATCATTTACTGCTCTCTCCTCCGTACAATATTAATTTTCTCTCTTTTTTAGTGCCAATAACAAAAATCGTCAGCGAAACGTAATTATCACAAAATAAATATTTTTTATTCCCGTATTATTACGATTCCAATTACAAATAATTAATTCGGTTACCCAAATAATTGCCTATTCACTAAATGTATGCTATTTTCTTATAATTAATGTTGATAGAGTTTTTCTATTATTTTGGGTGAACATTTAATTGGATAATAAAAAAATCCAATTTTTTTAGGTGGACATATTTGGAGCAATAAAAAAAATGTCCAATTACCCATTAGCCTATAAAATGCAGTCCGCTCCATCGATTACGAAAAATATTGGGCACGATTTCGCGAAATGTGCACCATTTCTGGGAAAAGTTTGGTCGTTTGTACGTGATTCCGTTCCTCTATTCATAAAATGACTTTATACCATCCTTAAGTTGCTCTCATTGCTTAACGCGACTATCGAATAGTAATTCCAACTATTTTTATTATTACAAACTCAATTCCCAAAAGAACCATTTAACCCCGTTTCATTTAATATCACTTTTAATACCATAAATCGTTTTTTTAGTAAAATTATTTTTGTTCCAATAAAATATTTTGTTTGAGACAAGAGAGAATTCGTTAATTGAATCATTAAATCGTTTTTCCATTTAGATGGTACGAAACGATAGCCACCGTAGTCGGGTCAGACACGTGAAACGAGAGATTTACAACCGAACCTAAATTCTCACTAATGTGACAAAGAAAATTGTCGCCAAATTCTCGCCTCGGAAATACGGTAGCAATAACGGCGTGTACAAATTTTGCCAACCCGTCGAGACGACGCGCTTAAATACCCACTTTTTTCCTACTAACAACGCAACGGGGCACCGAAAGAACGAAAATAACGACCTGAATTTATTGTACGCGTCGCTGCAAAATGCAACGAAGCGGCTTTTAATCTCCGCGATACGCGTATTGTAACATGCATTCTCCGTTTTAATTGTTTCGAAATGATGGATACACAATTCGTATGCGTTTTTGAAATTTTATTGTATCATAAAAACGAGGAAAATTTTTTTATATTAAAGTTAATTATGACTTGGAATGCTTTGATGTCATAAAACGAAAAGTTTATTTAATTGTTTACAAGAGTTGACATTTAAATTATACTGTGCGACTGTTGTTGAGTCACGATCTTGATTATCTCATTGTCTGGTAATTTAATTTAAATCATATGAAGTTATTAAGTGTGAAAAGAAAACATTAATTAAGTCTAAATTCCCCGAATATTTTAAAAGCTTTAATTTGAGATATTAAAAATAATTTTTTATACAGCAATATTTTTAATTTTTATTTTAGAAAAACAATGTTTCTGTATTTCCTCTTAATATTCTCAAATGTTTTGAACGTTTGCCAAAGAACACCACGTTCTGGACGAAGTTCGGCCTCGCACAATTAATACACAGCGTTGCTGCCACTTTCGAACGTGCCGGAAAGCCATCGTTTCGAAGCATCTACTACGAGACGTAACTGTAACACGTCTCGAAAACTTGCCATTCCACGTTCGTTTAGTTGCAACTCTATGGAATAACCAGTTGGTTCTTGTCAAAGAACCCCACGTTCTAGAGACGAAGTTCGACCCTTTACAATTAATATACAGAGAATCACTCTTAAACGTGCCGGAATTAAGAGAATTTTTCCTTAATTCACCTGTAATCAAAACCAAATGTTTAAAAATTCCATCAAGATTTACAAGAAAAATCTTTTATGTTTATGGTGAAACTCTAGACTGAGCGACGCCTCTTCGTATCGTTTTCAAGCTGTTTTAAAGAAGTGGCATTGAAACAACGCAGAAGAGAGTGAGTAAGAGTCGGTCATTGGCATAGAGTTGCCAGTAGTCAGCCTTAAATAATCTTGGACGTTGCTTAAATAGCATCCGGCGCTTACAAGAGATACAATGACTGGTGAATAAAACGCATTTTTCTTTTTGGGTCACCAAAACGAATGAGGAAGAAGAAAATTTTGTCTTCTTGCCAAGTTGATAAATTTATCTTTTCTATTTACATTCCTTGAAGGAAATTATGGGTGTGAAGATAACTATTTATCTTAACGATAAAAGAATAAAATTAATTTGTATTAAAATCTAATCCACAGTTTATAAATATTTCTAAATGTTCACATTAAATTGTATTTAATATTTCTTAAATTATCATAACAATTTAGCAATTTTCAAATAGATTTTCATAAAAAGTAAAAGTAATTTTTCAAGATGTATTTATGTATTGAAAGGTTCACACTTTGAATAACAATTCATGAAATTTCCATTTACATTTTCCTAGAAATGGATTTTATACGAATATTCAGTTACGTTAGTTATTTTAATATTTAAAGTTAATAAAAAATGTTATTACTTAAAATGTTAATGACTT